CCATCGGGGTTGGGTTTTCGTCGCTTGGCAACGACGTTGTAACACAAGCCCCCCCACTCGGTGTTTGCCATCGGGATTGGGTTTTCATCTCTTGGCAACGACGTTGTAAAACAAGCCAATTCACTTCGTGAGCTCGGCAACCTGGTGACCGTTTTTTTTTTTGTACCTCCGTTTTTTTTTTGGCGGTAACCATAATGGTGGTCGAGTAGATCATGTTGTGCGGGGTGGAGAAGCCTCACTCTGCGCAAGGGGGATGATCGCACCACGTTGTGTTAAATGGTCAAGCACCCTCGAGGCAGTTACACAGTGCTTACAACTGTCTCAGGAAGTGAAAGCACCAGAAAATAAATTAAGTCATACGCAGCTGTGATCCGTACGCAAGGAAGTAGGCACAAGATGCCGAACACCCTTAGCAGGATGCAGCGTACCCTTCATGCGACTCGCCGAATATCTCACGGCGCTTCGTGCTTGGTGATGTGAGAGCCTGGTCCGGTGAGAACCCGGCGTGCTCCGTCCCGGCTTTGTAGGGATGCGAGGTCAATGGTCTAACGACTACGGCATGCACTACTATGAGTACACCCCCCCCTCGCGGTACGATACAGCATCGTCTGCGCGCGCCTAGTTTCCGGCGGTAGCTAAGTGAAGCTTTTTGAGCTCCTGGCCGGCGTACGACAGCTGTAACCCGGGCGGCTTCGTGCGTAACTACGCATGAGTTGTCACCTGTGGATATGATGCGCTCGCTGCTGGGGGCGATGTTATGCCGTGACCCTGGCGGTGCATGCCAGTTGTCAGGGGCGTGAAGGGCGACAGTCGACGAGGAGGCAGTCCTAGTTCTCCCCCCGAAAAATTATGGGTATTCTCGAATCCTGTCGCTGTTGACCTTTAGCTGATTCTGTTGCTTTGGGCGGTAAACACACGCACATACACTCTCGGGCTTACGGACCATGCCGTTTGAGAGTTCGTTTTTGTTTTTGTCCTCCCTTTTCATTTGTAAGCCGGCTAGCGCGGTCAATGCCAGCAATGATCAACACACACACACACACACACACACGCACACGCACACGCACACCCCGCACGCGTGCCTACATCTGCCTATAGAACCATGTATTTGACTGGAAATCGTGTTCTGTTTTGCTGGGTCCCATAACGTGACTGGCGTTTGTTTATTGGCAAGTCTGTTACCGCGGTCGATCCGAATCTTAAGAGACACAAAAACGCACTCCCCCCCCCGCGCTCACGCACTTGATCTATCTGCTAATAGGACGACAGTAACGGAGATGACGATCCGTTCGACGATGATGGCGTCACCGCCCCGACCCGCCAGTTGGCGGCCCTGACCATCGCCGATGGCGCCGCTAAGCCGGCCAAGGGTAAGAAGGCCAAAGCGGCGGAGGACAAGAAGAAGAAAGCGGCGGCGGCGTCCTCGACAAGCTCCTCCTCCTCGTCCATGTCTCTCGCGGCTAGGGTGAAGCACAAGTTCGGGGACACGACCACCCCCGCACCGAAGCTTCCGGTGAGCCTTGTATCTCTTGGCTTCACTCATAGTGGTCGTGTTTCGTGTATGTGTTGTTTTTTTTAATCCAAACTTGCTTCCGTGACAATTGACCCAACACTGGATTTAGAGGATATGAGAGCCGAGCCGGAGGGAGACAGAGACAGAGAGAAAGAGCGAAAGAGAGAGAGAGAGAGAGAGAGAGAGAGAGAGAGAGAGAGA